ATATATATGTATACACATATATATGTATGAATATGTACATGTATGTATATGTATATATATATATGAACATATATATGTGTATATATACACATACATATGCATGTATATGTATATATTTTATACATATATGTACATACATATATATGAAACTGAAACTAGCCACAATGAGAATTGAAAAAAGCGTGACGTTTCGAACTCTTCACGAGTTCCTCTTCAGACAAAAACGGTCTGAAGAGGTACTCGTGAAGACTTCGAAACGTCACGCTTATTTTCAATTCTCATTTTGGCTAATTTTATTTTAATTTTGTGTCACGTGACTCTTTGTGCTTGTGTTCATACATACATACATATATATATATATATATATATATATATATATAATATATATATATATATATATATGTATATATATATATGTGTGGTGTGTGTGTGTGTGTGTGTGTGTGTGTGTGTGTGTGTGTGTGTGTGTGTGTGTGGTGTGTGTGTGTGTGTGTGTGTGGGGCCATATTCATTTTTTTTATCTATTTATTTATCTATATGTGTGTAGGTTCACGAATTTATATATACCGTAAAAAAAAAAAACAAGAAAGCTCCCGACAGACGGACACGACGGCGTTCCCTGATGGCCGCGTGAGGAGCGTCTGGCCATTCCCACGCCCTCTTCTCTCCTGGGGTAGGGGAGAGTAGGAGGGGGCCAGGAGAGAGTAGGAAGGGGCAGGGAGAGTAGGAGGGGGCCAGGAGAGAGTAGGAGGGGGCAGGAGAGAGTAGGAGGGGGTAGAAGAGAGTAGGAGGGGGAGAGAGTAGGAGGGGCAGGGGAGAGTAGGAGGGGGCAGGGAGAGTAGGAGGGGCAGGAGAGAGTAGGGGGGGCCAGGAGAGAGTAGGAGGGGGCCAGGGGGAGAGTAGGAGGGGCATGATTCGAGAAGACGGCACAACACATATATAAGGAGAGGCTGGCCAAGATGAGCATCGTCAGTCAGCGATCCGCCCCTTCCTTGACCACACCCACCTCCTCCTTTTCTCCTTCGCCATCGCTCCTCCAAGATGAGACTTCAACTCGCCTTTGTCCTCGCTGTGGCGGCGGTGGCAGCCTCGGCCCGCGGTCAGTTATGATTTTTTTTCTATTGCGGTTTAATTTTCCTTTTTCTTTACTGAATTTCCCGTTATTTCTCTCCCTCTCTCTCTCTTTTTTTCTTTATTCAGCTACTCACCATTTATCTCTGCTACTCTCTCTCTTCCTTTTCCTCTCTCTCTCTCTCTCAACCTTCCTTTTGCTAATTTCCCTATCTCTCTCTCTCTCTACCTCTTTACCTCTCTACCTCACTGTCTGTCTGTCTATCTTTCTATCTATCTATCCATCCATTTACCTATTTATTTCTGCCTTCTCTTGGTCTAACTACTCTTTCTTCCATTTCTGCAAAGAGAGAACCTTGTTTATGCGTAAGACTTTGATAATTTTCATTCTGGAAATTATAGAAAATTATCATTTATCCCTTTATCGTGTGAACAGATTTTTTACCAAAGGTTTTATCATCGGGTGATCAAAAGCAGAATTAAACGTTTAACTTCTTTAGCATTTTTTTTTCTAATTTGAAGTTAAGGACTGGTATCAATAGGCATTAGTGAATTTAGGTTACCAAGCTCCTATGGCGGCAGATAGTAAATATATTTCGTTAACCAATGGTAGAATATCCTTAAAACAGAGTCTGCACACGAATACATAGGTCTATGATACATTTTCTTATTCTAGTATTATATTTCTTCATATCCACAGAC